CTCACCTATCAAACACAGGTAAAGTTGAGATTTTCAGTTCATGTCACAAGTAAAACTGATTATGAATTCACTGTGACTTGCAATAGAACTCTGAATTCACAAAGTCCTCGGTCAGTGTATCTATTCAAAATAAAACTATAAATTTCACATGCATTTTAAAAAATACTTTTTAAAGTTGTGATTACATATTTGGATCAGAAATTTGTTAATTAATATTTTAGTTGGTCATTCAATAATTCTTAACTAAGAAGAAACCTCAATATTTTAGAGTCAATTTTTTAAGAAATGTTCTGCTATATTTTCCTTTGCAAGATGTCATTAAGTCACATATATAAGGCTAACTTTATCTTGTGAGCAAATCCTAAAAGGAAAGTGTTTGCTGAAGTTTACACAGAAGCTTAACTTAATATTTCAATTTTAAGCTATAATGTAGTTAAAATGCATAGGAACTCTTTGACATTTCTTGATAAGAGTAACATGTACTACGATTAATATAATTTGGTATTTTCAGAGACTATTACAGATGAAAGAAATAATTTTTTAATAATCTAAGGAGCTCATTTTGAGAAGATACAATTTCATCATATGACTTTATTCCATTAACCCTACATGTATAAATTTCTTTTACAAAGAATGCATAATCCTTAAGAGTTGTTAGTTCAGTCTGTGTTAACACTCTGTGGTCTCCAAGTCTCTGAGGGCATTGTTGTTTATAGGAATCTTAAGGACTCCCAGTGCTCTACAGAATCTCCAGTATTTCTGAACACGCAAAACTCTTCCACTGTGCCCTCTAAAGCTCATGTGGTCAGCAGCACATTTTCCAGTATCTACAATATGTTTTTCCACCTTCCTTTCCTTTTTTAACTGGAACCAAAGGTCAGTCTTTCTCATAGGCCTCTTAGATGGTCAGTGTTAATCCTTCCTCCACCCGTGTACCCCACGAGAGGAGCGTATATGTGCAAAAGACTTGTTCTGTTTTCTTTCACCTCCCAAAAACTTTAGTCAGGTGAGGTAGCACACGACTTTCTCCCTCCCTTCCCCTTCTCCTTTTCAAATGTCTTTTCCCATCTTGGTTCCTTTTCACCAAAACTAAAGATTTGGGGAATTCACTTGGTGACATTTTTGCTTATTATCCCCACTGTGCTCATTTTCTCGATGACTGACTCCTATCTTGGAAATCCATCTACCTTGGTTACTTGACCTTTGACAAATGTTGTATAAAGTTAGCCCTCTTCCTGACTTGGGTTCATCTCTCACAGTTATATATCACAACCTGCAACACTGTTGATGCAGCCTCATGTCTTCTAATCTGGAACAGTCAATCGCCATCCATTTAGCCTCGCTTTGACCTTTCACCACTGAGAAAGCTAACACTTTGACAGAGATTGAGATGAAGCAGGAGATGATGCAGCTGTGTAGGGAAAATATGCTCCTGGCAAAGAGAGTCTCAAAAGCCGAATTCCTGGCCTGGAGAAAGCAAGGCATGGTAGACTAAATAAAGATAAAAGGAAAACGAAAACAGTTTTCCTGTTGTTTACAAAAGAAATCATAGGCACAAGTAGGTACGAGGAGAACTGTTAGGAAATTATGACAGTGATCCGCAGAGTAGATGATAGAGGCTCTAATGCACCGCAAGGAGGGCATGCAAGAGGTGACCGTAATAAAATCAGTAAGATATTCTTTTAGATTGCACTGAGTAAGAATGAAAAAGAATGAGTACAATGGTTCTGTACCTTTTATCCTGAAAACCTGGAAGGCAGAACTGCTATCATCTTACAGAATTAAAACTGCAACTAAAGCAAATTTGAAACGGCTTGTTAATGTGTGTTTTCCACAAAATCTGTATTTATTTTAAGATCACACTGTCCCCTTCCCACGCCACTCAGGTTCCCATGACATTTAAACAAATACAAAGGATGCAAAATGCCTTCCAGATACTCACTTCACTCTCTTCCTCATCGCTCCTCCAACATCTTATACACGCGGCTCTGACCTCTTTGCTCTTCAGAGTATCCTTTAGTCCCCAGGAGTCTCCCTCCTCAGGTCTCTGTATCTGGGGCTACCGTCTGCAGTACGTTTTCCCAGAAGCGACATTCATTCGGTGGGCACTTCATTCATGAATTTCCCTGAACTGTGTCTCTTTAACCTTATCTTTCCTGCCAACCTCAACAAGCATTCCTAAAGTAACTCGTTTCAGTTACATTTTTATTCATTATTACTGGCTTTATTTTACCTATTTGTTTCTGAGAACCTGTCACTGTCATTACATTTTTTATATACTTAAAATTTCTGTCCTCCCCAATAAGATTACTTATATTAAGACAAATAATTTATTCTTTGAAGAACTTCAATAGTATTTATCTTCTAGGGTCAAATTTATTAGACTAATCAAATCATCAACTATGGAATTTTTTGTTGAATAAGTTTATCATGAAGTTTAAGGAAGGATAAAATATGAATCATTTGTTTATTAAGATCAAGAGAGTGACGTAGTTTCTCGGGTTTTGCCAAGAAGATAAATTGATAAAATAAGTAAGCTTTTGAGTTTAGACCTTTCTCTATGCTCGTAAACGTGGCCGAAGGTCAGCTTGTAGTGGTACCCTGAAATTTCTATTGTAAGAATAAGTTTTTATTTGCTTCACATGCTTTCTCACAAGAACTACAATAGCTACATGACAGGACTGAAATTGATACAAGTAGCTCTGCCTCAGAATCTCCACTTACCTGCCATTAAACAAAACAGACAAAGGGAACTGCGAAGCTTTATTTGAGCCAAAAATTGCAAGTCACTTGTCACAGAAAAGTTCAGCCACCGAATAAAAGAAAATGTACCAGAAACCTCCTCTTAGTTTTTAACAAGGAATGATAACACTCCAAGATAACTGAGGCAAAGAAAACTCTATAGAATTAGTTTGCAACAATCTTTTTTCCATTTGTTAGACTCCTATTATTTCAGAAAACTGTTTCATTAGCTGGAAAACAGGAAGTGAGCACACACTCCCACCAAGAGAGACACTGGTAACACCCTGCCTCTCAAACTAGTTCTTCACAGATGTAATTAACATATATACTTTTTATTTATGGAGATATTCATTCATTATTTTAGTATATAAATAATTTCCATTAATGTTATTAATAGAATACTGCATTTTAAATTTTATGGCATCTATGAATTATCCCTAATATTTTGAAAAGCTAACATTTAAATACTTGCATTTAAAGTGTTATTTCTATTAGGTTTTTTTCACCCTCTATATGGATCTTCTTAGATTTTCTCTATATTGTCATTGTCTCCATTTTAGCAGTAAAAAGAATAACTTCAGTATTTTACATCACTTTGCTTCTTGATTTATTACCTATTTAGAATTACTTTACGAAAAATTTTAACTGTGCTTTAACTAATCTAACCATAAATTGAATATTCTAGGAAATGAGCCCCTTGACCAAGCTGGCTGTCGAATAGTTTGAGCAGCCTCTGTGGGTTTGATAGTAGACTTTGTTCATCCCAGTGGAAGCAGTGAATCCAGATTTTGTGCTAGATAGGGATTGTTAAATTAGCACAGTGAGCACCAGATGAATACCCAGAAGAGAAGGACACTTTATCAGTGTAATATTTTGCCTATGAAAAAAAGAATAGTCAAAGTCAGCCCCACTTAAGTCTTTTTATTTGCTTTATCTGGAAAGAACAGTCACATTCTGAATTTAAGGACCAAAGCATCTAAATTGCTGAGAGAAGGAAGATGCAGATAAAGATGGAGGGCAGATACACCATGCCATGAAAGCAGCTACCTGCAGGTCAGGCATGGAGGTGCACAACTACAATCTAGCATTTCTAGGGCTGAGGCAGGGAGAGCGCATGAGTTTGAGCTTGAGGCCAGCCTTGGCTAAGGCCAGTTGAACTAAGCAGCAAGACCCTGTCTCAAACCAAACAACAGAAGCAAACAAACAAAAGAACAAAAATCTACTTTAATTATACTGCAAGGTTAAGAATTTTAAAAATTATTTCATGAATGAGTGAATTATAGTAAGTTGAATATCATAGAGAATACATCAGAGAGATTCAACATATGAATATGAACTCTTGTGGGAAAAGATCACATGAAGAAGTGACAATTCATCTAGTAGAATATTTCCTTTAGCTAGGGAAAGAACCAGGTTTGCATATTAAAGAAGCACTCACTTCAAACTAGATTCATCATGAAGGCAAACAAAAATTAATATATCAAGCTTCAAGACAACAAAGACAATCTCTCTCCAAAGGAAGAGTAATTAGAAGGAAAAGAAGAAAGGCATCACATTGTTTATTGCAGTTGTGGTAGGAGACGACACACTTTTACAGCCTTGGAAACAGCGGAAAGCATCTGCAGGGTACTATGAAAAGTATTGTTTTCTTTATATTTTAAACCTCACTAATAAACCTTAGATGGCCAGTGAATATTTATGTGTATGCAAAAGGATCAGAAAGTCTGTCATCCTGGTGCCACATCCAGAGAAAATATTCTTACTAAATATCAAATGCAGCATAATCCCAGAAAGGAGGGATGTGAAGGAGAAAATAAAATAAGATACTGTGGAAAAATCAAGATTGAAATGTGCGTTTGTTTACATGCAGATACGTAAATTCCAATAGTTGAAACCTAAATAGATGGTGGAATAGCTGAATACATGAAAAATAGGTTATGAAATGGGGCCCAGAAACAGATAGGACAGACAGTGGGATACATTGTATTTAAAATTAAAAAATAAAAATAAGTTAAACCACACCCTAGGATTTCATATTCTGACTGTTGATTCCTCTTTTAATTCACAGTCCTGATCTTATTGTTGAGGAGTAAACAATAGAATGTGTACCATTCATGTCTTTATGTGTCATTAGTCAGTCTAAATTTTTCCAATTTGTTCCTTACAGTTATGTTGGGATGATACATCTCAAAGAAACCCGGAACTCGCCCCATTTTCCGCAATGTATTTCATTACACTGCTGTCTCCCTCTTCCCCAGGGCCTGTTCCTCAGCCAGCACCTTCTGCTGCTCATCCTGGAGTTCAGCAAGTTCTCCCATCACCTGCTTATCCTTACGGTCCTCAGCAAGCTCCTCCGTGTCTGCACCATCAATGTGCAGACCCACACTCTTGCCCATGGACACAACCTCCTCCACTCCCTGGTGGCAGAACCTTCAGAGTCATGGTCAGCAACACATTCTGGTCTTAGCTTCCTCCAGGGTGTTTGAAGTCTGAAAGGTGACATCTTCCCAGGCTTTGGCAATGAGGTTGATGCACTGGAGAATACTGAAACGTCTCTTCCCAAACTCTTTAATGGTCCAGGACATCTTTTCAGTGACATTAAAACATCTGATAAAGAGCTTTTTATGTGCAGCTTCTTGAAGTTGCTGGTCACTTGCTGGTCTGTGGCTCTAAAGAGGGCGTCATGTAGGGGGAGGACCTTGACCTTTGTGAAGTCACTTCAGCCTCCTAAAGCTGAGGGTGCACTGCCACTTTGTTCATCAGAGGAAGGCACCTTTCAGGCAGTCGGCTGTCAGCTTTCACATAGGCCCCGCAGGACAGGCATTCTGGTCTTGTTTGCATTCTCTTCTTGAGTGTACGAGCGGTTTGGGAACAGGGCATCAGGGCTGGCTTAATCTTCAGACTGGAGCTTGCATCCACACAGCCATAGGGTCACTCTGTCCTTCATGGCTTTGAACCCTGCCGGTGCCTTTTCCTCCTGCATGATACAGATCCTGTTCAGCATCTTTTTCCAGAAGGCCCTGTTTAACCACAGTTGGACACTTGTCAGGTCTAGTTCCCTTCTGCCTTCATGCACTCCATCAGTTCTTTCTTGTGGGCTTCTTCAGTGACCTTTTTAGAACTGGAAGTCTTACCATGTCTTGTCACACAGTAGATGTCACTTCTTTTGTGGAATTTATCAAATCATCCTCTACTGGCTTTAGACTTATACTCTGTTGCACTCCAAAAGGGTTTTCTTGGGGTAAATCACTGTGCAGTGTCCTAGCTTTTTCACAGGTTGTGTCTTCATTACCAGTGTCACCTTCCAGCTGTTTCTCATTCAAAAACACTAGCAATTTTTCCACCTCTTCCAAAACGCGAGTCCTCTGTTTGGTGAGCATCATTACCCTTTTGCCACAGCAGCTCTTTTGATGACATATTTATTCTTCATAAGATGCTTTTCTACAATTTTCTTCTTCAAACCAATGGCTATTTTGTTGAAAACCTTCTAATCATTATTGCTCTGTGCATTCTTGTCACCTTCATACTGCTTCGCACTTCGTTGTTGCTGTTTTTATCTCCATGCTTGGTTTAGAGACATAGTGGATTGAAAAACACTGCACAATGTTGCATGTGCTAAACAGCACACAAACACGTTTCACACTGAGCACGCAGGTCTTTTTATGAGTGTGATCTTGACTAGAGGAAGCTGCGATCACTTATCTGGTTGAGGAGGGTGGATCCATCTGTGTTCATCAGCCAATGAGGAGTTCACAAACTGAAGGGAGATTTTGCTGAATGTTCCTCTTCTTGAACCACATTATTTCAGTGAACAGAAGCATGTGTGAACCTAGGTATTACTCTATTTATGGCAACAGTACTGAAATTCGTGTGTCATATAACCGAAACAATTTACCATTCCTGAGTGTGTTCCTCCTTTAAAATGTAATGGTTTTAATCCAGGGCACACAGAATTTATAAAGACTGAAGAGGATAAAATGTCTCGGAAGTTGTAGCTTGGGGATGGCATTAGTGTGTATTTAAAAAATGAGGGTAGTTATTCCTAATATAAATGAAAATGAGTCATCTGTATCAGGTAAAGATGCCAAGTTGCAAACTGTGAAGAGCAGAAAGTTAATGTATCAAAGCCTTTTAGTGATGTTGCTTGTCTTAAACTGAGGGAATATGGTCTTCAATCCCTTCTTCTGTAAAATTATCTTGTGTATTTATGATGCCATTAAAAAGAATATATAGTTATGTCATTAAGAAGTCAGCTTGCTAACAACTTAAGTTTTGGGGAAAGTATGATTCTCAGTCTTAAAATCTCTGGTGCTTAATTCACAGAGACATATCCTTTCATTGAGTGCCCCATTCACTTACAATAGAAAGTTTATTAAGTGTAGTTTTATGTACAGGGATAATTCTCAAAAATTACTGGGAATAGAGATATGGGAAGTCAGAGCCCATTTTGTAACAACTTTTAGATCACAGCTAATGAACTACAGTATAGTGGGTGACAATCACTCACCACATTGTGGCATAAATAAGGAAACTAAATCACCGTAATTACCCCAAGGGTAACCATTTCATTAGTGTCTACTGTAACTGTCTACACGATGTTCCATTTGTGTCATCGTTATTCCTACTAACAGATCATGGGTACATACATAGGGTTTCTACCAAGCATTAAGATCTGATTTATCATCTTTTACACATTTTATTTATTTCCAAAACTATATTGTTTTGGAATTATTAATTTATAAGAAATATTTACTATAGTAAATATTTTTAAAAATAAATAATTATTTCCCAAACTGTATAATAGCAGTTTTCTTTTTTACTGGGGATCATACTGAGGACCATGCACTTGCAAGGCAGGTGCTTTTGCTGGTGAGCTAAATTCCTGGCCCTATATAATATCAATTTAAAATTGATCTTGTTTTTTTATTCTTAGGAGATAATATTAAGATGGTTCAATAAAACTGTTTTTGGCTCAAATTCTTTTTATATAAACCTCTTTTGAAAGCTAAATTTGTTGAACATAGAAAAAAGAAATGATTAAAACTATCATGTCATAATACATGTTATATTTAATTTAAACAAAATATTTTACATTAGAAGACAGCTAATAGACTATTATAGAAATATTTAAACAGTAACTTGCCTAATTTACAATGGTGTATTTACAGTTGTATGGCAGAGTTTGCTGGAAAGAACTATGAGATAGTAACTGACTGCTGTACACTGCTCAGCATCAGCTGTCTGAATGGTGCTTCAAAGTAATTGGAAGATACATAGTAAGTCATTTAATATACTGCAAAGAAATTTACCACTGCAAGTACAATAGCTTCAGTGAGTATGTATTCCAAATGCTTTTATTAGTTTAAATGAGGGCAATGTAAATTCATATACACATTTATATGTATCAGGTATTAATCATAGTATAGAGATCATTAAAAGATTTATGTTGAGAGGACATTCATAAGTGTTCCAGGGTGTATTTCTAATATGAAATAATCATGCAGATAATTGACTTGTGGTGATCTATTTCTGTTTATCAGTAACTAATGTTGTAAACTCATAAAGTAAATGAAAAATAGCATCTGTGTTTAGGTTGCTTGTCATGGTATATAGTTGTACTTGTTTTACTGTATGATTTGTGAAATATTTTTATGAATACAAAGAATTGTACTATATACATTCTACCATATATTATAACTCAACAAATTGTGCATGAAAGTGGGTTTATTGGAAGAATTACCATGAATGTAATGAGCATAATGTTCAAAAATTTTTGTTCCAAATTTGAAACTAACTACAGTTTAAGAATGGTAGAATGGATGACTTCATTATGGAGTATTTGTATAATGGAATTATAAGTTGTTTAAAACAGATGAATTACCCTTTCAGCCATTATCCAGCAACCTGATTTTTTTCTAACAAGAACTGAATCAGGACCTTGTACTTTCCAGACAAGAGCTGTACTGCTGAGCTGTATCAACAACCCTAACAAAGCTGAATTGCAAAACTTTACTCAAAAAATATATGCACAGAATAATAACTGCTACTTAAATTTTAATACAAGCATAAATATTTTCTGTGATTATATATATATATACATATATATGAAACATAAAAAATATAAACAAGATAGGAAAATTATACACACCTGGTTTATTGGAAGAACTGCCTCTGAGCGACAGAATAGGGAGAGAAATTACAAAAAGTTAGAATTCTAACATATTTCTAACACTAAATTTTTAGAAATGTAGATTTGTGAATAAAGACTTTCCTTTAGTATTTTAAGTATTCTAAAATAAAAAAAGCAAAATTTGGGAATAGATCATAAACAGATTTATACTACATATATGGCCGCATCACTTTCCTAATCACTGAGGCAACATACTCAGTGCTCACAAGTTAAAAGAGGAAAGTTTGCTTTGCCACAGTTTTAGGATTTAGTTCACAGATGGCTGCTTCCAAGGCAGCAATAGCAGGGGAAAAGGTCTGAGCAGAGGAAGCTGGTCAACCCGTGCCACACAGGGAGCAGAGAAAGAATTGAAGAGCCAGGGAGCGACATCTGTCCTCCTGAGTCACCACCTCCAAGCAACGTGGGAGCTGTGAACTCATCTGTGGAATCACCACAGAGGAGAGTAGCACCACCATGGTACAATGCACTGTCCACACACAAATTTGCAGTACATTTTATATCAACCATAACAACATTTTAATAAAAATTCCCACCAGTATAATGCGGAAGGAAAATATACAAAGTAAAAATATGGAAAAAGAAATAACTGTAATACAGTTTTGACATACATATGTCATGAATATCCATTAGAAATATATAAAATTAAAAGTACAAGTAAATCTGGCAAATCTCATTGCATATAGAATCCATATAGAAGTTAGCACATTTTTACAATACACCAGAAACAAATTTTTAAAATGAAATTAATAACAATTGCATTTAAGTGAAATTATGATTCTGATATCATCAAAAATATAAACAGTGATATATGTGCACCTATGTTTATAACAGCACAGTTGGTAAATCTAGGAAACAACCCAAATGCCTGTCAACTAATGCATGGAAAAAATGATGTGATGTTTTTATACAATGGACTATTACTCAGCCATAAACACGAATACACTGGAGACATTTATTACTAAATAGATGGCCCTTGAGAACACACTCTTAAATGAAACCAATTGGACACACATGAAAGTATTGCATTATATCTCTGTCATGAGAAGCCATAAGTATAAGTAACAGTGAAATGTATAATATATGCTGTGAAATAGGAAGTGATGATAAAAAACAAAGAGGAACTGGAGGGTAGAAAGTGGAAGGAAAAAAAAATAATAGAACAAGAATAAAATGGAAACATAGCTTTGTAAACAAGGATGAGAAAGAGAATGATGAAAGGGGAAGGCAATCAGAAAACAAAAGGACAAAGATCCATTGTGTACAGACTCAAATCCCTTGTGATGAATGTGGTCATTATGTATATCTGTACTGAAAATCTTTAAAAAATAAATAAAAATGAACTGAACAGAATAGAGCCAAATCTTCCTGAAAACTATAAAAAATACAAAATAAAATTAGATATTGTAATGGTTGATATACTGTGTCAACTTGAAAATTCCAGAAACTTAACCAAGTAACTCAGTAGTTCTACATCCCGGGGTACTGCATTAGGATATTGTTCATTGTGCCACCTTGAAAAGTTTAAAAGTTTAAGTGACTCTGCAGGGTCATGGTCCTCACTTTGTAAACATCTGGAGGGGAACACAGAAATGGTGTGAATGCCACGTTCACCAGAGGGTGCGTAGCTACCTAAAATACCAGGGAGGAAAAGAGGCGTGCTGTCCCCCTGTTTTTGCTCTTCTTTTTATGGCTGTCTTCAGCCACCTTGAACAATTGCTCGTCAGCCACACTACCCTGCCTGAGAGCCCGCTGATTATGGACTTGAACCCCCACAGACTGGGATCTAAGTAAACCTTTCCCTCCTTAATTTTGGTATCAGGTATTTTGTCTCAGCAACAAAGGAAAAGTAACTAATAGAAGGATGTCATGAATAAGTACAGCTATAACTCACCCGTGGATGGAAACACATGCTACACTTACAAGGTCCTTTCTTCTTAATTGTCTTCCTCAGATTTTTATAGATACTGGAAAATAGTGTAAGAAGTTTATATGGACCTGCAAATGACATTAACTTGAGAAAGGGATGAATACTGAAAAAAAGCTGTCATTTTATCCCTATGCGAACACAAGTGTTATTTTAAAACTAAATGAACAAGAAAATGGTATTGCAGTAAAGATAGACCAGCAAATAAGAATTTTGAGACATGTAGTTCAGGAATATAACTGCAAGAAAATGAACTGTAGAGTCCTAATAAAAATCATAAATGAATTTAATGAGGGAAAGAACTTGTTCCTGTCCAATGTCATGAAAAAGATTAATCTTTACCCCTACTTTATCACTCAGTAATTAACTTGAGATTAAGAATATTATGAACCTCTTAGGAAATAGAAAAAACAGAAAAGATGTTTTTCACTGTCTTGCAATACAGTACGTGGACTTCAAGTACTAAATGTCTGCTCATCAAATGATAAAAATCAATAATTACCAAATTAAAGTTACATTAAATTAAATCTAATTTAGGTCTCTTTTATTTTTCAATTAATTAACCTAAGATGCAACATTTTTAGCAAACTAATCTGATAGAAATATTGCTATCAGGGAAATGTTCAGCAAATATTTGTTTTGCATGAAACACCGAGGCAGGAGGATGGTAAATTTGAGGCCTACCTGGGCAACATACGTAAGCAAAAAAAGCAAATGAGGACACATACCTCAGTGGTAGAATATCTGATTGACATGCACAAGTCCCAGATTCCATCACAAATACTAAAAAAATGTGCTTATGCCATACGAATTTTATGCAAAATAGATTTTAAAATTTAAAATCACATCCCTGATGGTGGGGCTGGCTGGAAGAGAGTGAGTTTGTGCTCTGGCCTCCTCCATTGACCCCAGGGACAGCAGGGCTGGCTGAAAGCATATAAGACCAATGCAAACCTCAAAACCCAGATAATAGCCAAGTGTGCAGATGCACATGCACCTTTCGAGGGTGAAATAATCAGTGAAGACAGAAATGTGGACGTTCTGAAGCAGCAGCGAGAAGACAGCAGTTGGACTTTGGAGATTTCCAACGATGGAAGACCAGTCTCAGCCCCCACATCCAGAGGCCTAGATCAGCTCTACACCCTGCACATCTCTGGGCATAACATGGACATTATCACAGGACTGTGAACCCCAGAAGAAGGTATGTTCTTGGAGTGTTACCAAGAACCCACTGCATCTAGATGACAACCCTGAGGAATGGACATCTCCTTTCTTCCTTGAGAGAGGCCTCAGTGCTAGTGGTACAGTTATATACCCTTGGAGGTTGATGGGCATCAACTCAGGTGGCAAAATAAAAGGAAAAAAGACAAGGTGGAAAATGGCAAGATGCAGAGGTGGGGTGCATCCCCAGATCCCCAGCCCACCCAGGACAGGCTTGTAACTCAATGACTTGGATGACATAGGAAGTCAAACACTGGAACTTTCTAAAATGATGACAAGAAGGAAAAAAAAGTGATCACTCAGATACAAAAACAAATGATGCTTAAAATCAAAGATATTAGAGAAGACACAGGTAAAGTATAGATGATCTTAGAAAAAGATGGAAACAAAAAATGCTCAACATCAGAGAGAAATGGAATCCATGAAACAGATCAAAAAAGAGATGCAGGAAATCAAAACATACATGGAAAGCGTGTGCAACAGACTGAGTGGTAGAATTTCAGATCTTGAAGACTTAATTGAAGCTAGTGATCACAACAATAAAGATACTTCAAAAATAGTAGAAACCATGAGATATCAATCTAACAACTATAAGACAAAGCATAGAAGAAAGCACAAGATTGATTGGGGTCAATAAAAAAGTTAAAGACAGCACAACTGCCATAACAATTATATATATATATATATATATATATATATATATATATATATATATATATATCTCATAGAGGAGCAACCAGATATATGAGATAATTATTAGTAGATGTGGAAAATCAAATGAGCAATTGTAGTAAGAGACCACAATACCGCATTATCACAGAAAGACAGACCAACTAGACAGAAAATCATCAAAGGAACAACAAAGCTGAACCAATCCTGTGAACAAATGGAGTTAACAGGAAGAAGTCACACCCTGAGGCCCCATGCCAGCCACCAGGAGAGATCCAGGAGCCCAACACTGGCCTGGAGAAGAAGCCGTGCCCTAAGACTCTGCCTCCGTAAGAGGAGCATTGGTAAACCGCATCCAGAGATCAGAGCAGCCAGGAGCCCAAAGCAAACCACAGCATGGGGGGAATGGCAGCCAGTGCAGACGCACTCAGGATGCAGCCGTGGGATGATTCCAAGGAACACAGGAAAAGGTCGAGACAAAGGGGCAAAACACCATCTCAGATCTCCAGTCCACACAGAGCAAGTTCAGTGGACACAGACATAGTAGAAATTCGAAGTCACACAATGGAAACTTCTGAAAAAGTAACACTGAATTAAAGAAGCAACTTCTTGTATTATTCTGTTGATTTTACATACCTATGTCTGATGGTCTGGTCAGCTATTTGAAGATAACAAGAGTCATTGTAGCCATTGCTAATTTCCTATTATGCTGTGTTGAAGTCCCATATCATTTTCACTATTTCATTTTATTTGGTTCTAATCTGTTTTTTTTTTTTTTGTTTGTTTGTTTGCTTGTTTGATTTTATTATGTCTGGTGGTATGGGCAGCTATTTTGAAAATAAAATATATTATGGTAGCCATTTTTGATTTTCTATTACCTTGTTTTGAACACATATATCACTTTCATTTTTTGTTTTGATTGGCTCTATTCTGTTTTTATTTTGTTTGGTTTTATTCTCTTTAAAAGAAAAAAGAAAAATATAAAATCAGAAAATTATGATAAAAACAAAATATGATCAATTTTATATAACAAATTCAATTTTTAAGATACTTTTAAATGTACCTGTAATTCTTTATTAGAATGTGAATTGAAAAACATAGAGAGAAATATTGATGAAAGCACAAAAAGAAATGAGAAGAATCGCTAGAGTCAGAATTCCTATCGCGCCCCTTCCTGCCTGGCGAACTAACGGCAATTGCAGCCCTCTGTGTAAAGGGGTTATGGAGGAATTCGACTGCACCAGACCTGGTGCACATGCAGTACACTGTATTTTCCTGGAAGGAGTTACAATCAAGGACTCAGCTATGGCTCCTAGAACCCCCTTACTAGTCCTGTTCACAAGCACTGAATTCCTCATCCAGGCTTTTCATTAGGCTGCCTCTTTGCGGGAATGAATGGAAGGAAGGGCTCAGCTTGGGCTGAGCTAAGACACTGCTCACGTATCTCGAAGCAGGGCCCTTTGGCTTAGACCCTTGCATTCACTGTAATTCTCTACTTTTCTCACTCCTAGTCTTCCCTTTTGCAATCAAAATAATCAGCAAGAATAGTTAAAATCTCATGCACCCAGTAAGAGAGAACATACATCACTTTGGGGAAACAGTTTTTAAGTTAAAAAATGCCTATATTATAACCATTATAATTAACTTTGAGAGATACACAACTATTTATTTACTTACAACAAAACAAAGTAAATTTTATGTGTTTTCTGGGGTTATAGAAAGGTCGACAAGGCATAGCATGGCTACCTTTCGAGAATTCACTTCCAGCAGTGCTACTAGAAATAGGAACGACCATATTTTGTGATGCCAGCTTTCTCCAGCAAGAAGGGAGCAAAAGGGAGGGAAAAGCAGCCAGTGAGGGCAAAAGATAACACCAGTCCACCGTCATCCACCCTATGCCAGAATCCTTCAGGACTTTATAATATTTAACAGTGCAATATTTCATACATGCATATATATATATATATATATATATATATATATATATACACACACATACAATGTCAGGTGCACAAAAACAAAGATCCAGAGAAGATCATGAGGAAAAATGAATGCTTAATTCAGAGTTCTGAGATAATGTGGGAATCCGAGTTAATCAGAGGTTTGATTGTAGCTGGGGCCCATATGATATTTGTGTCGTGCAGCCATCATAATTCTAGAAGTAAATAAACCAGTAGTCTGACAGAGGTTTACTCCTATTAATGGGATGAGACTAAAATTATATTATAATCAGACCACCTTTGATTATGCATTGAAATAAAGTTCCAGAAAGAATGAAACTTACTCTCTGATGGAATTGTGATTAGTTATCTGACATTAAGCACAATAGGCTAGAAAATATTGGAGGGGGATGGTAGACGAAAAACATTAATTCTAAACCATACTCTTCATTATGAGTTAAATTTCTCTATTTTCAGTTCATTTTCTTTATAATTAAACTGGCATAAGAATGCTGCAGTTTCTCATTGAAATTGTGATGAGGAATATCTAATCAAGCACTTTTCAATGTCAGTTGCATTCATAACATTATTAATAAAAATGGATTCAATGATAAACAATTACTGCTTCTGAATTACGAGTACTGTGTTTCTAAAAGCTACTACCTAAGAATAAGCTACTGAAGAAATGAAGAGCTCATAGAAAAATACCTATAAAAATGTTTTCCTTTTTATAAAAGGTATAATGGAATGCATATTAAAATGACTCATTATAAATAGAAATATTGGCGCTGTGATTCTGCCTTATATAATGAATCAGGATATTTTTTCCATAGAGCTTCAGTGATTTGATAACATTTTCTTTCCATTTCAGTAGATAATACAGTTATGTAGAGCCATAGCTTCTGGTTTCAATCTACACATTTATTTTATAGCTTCCTAATATGAAGACTTAGGATTGTTGACTGCTGTTTTTTATCCATCAAAAGGAAATGCCTTTAGAGGTATATACAAAGCTCCTTTGATTGTCTTTTTTTTATATATATAACTTGCCCAGGGATACAGATATAAGGATTTGGCTTGCTTTTTTCTCTCATTTTTCTAATTCTCCTATAAAGCTTCAAAAGAGAACCAAGAAAAAATTAAAATTATTCTACTTCAGCTTCACCATCTGCTTTGTGTCTGTCTTTTACTTCCATCTTCTAGTTAAATCTTTTTTTTTCCTTTCCAACAATTCTCTTTAATAAGAGTAGCAACTTATATAAAGACACATTCAGAAAAATAAAACTCAAATTAGGCTCCATATGAATACAAGTTTTATTGGATATTGTTAAAAGGATTTGTGTATTATTTGTAACAATAAATCATTTAAACAGAATCCTTTTTTAAAAAATGTTTCTGTCTACCAATGTTGCTCTCCCAACCACATGAACAAAGGAATGCTAAGGTTCACATAGTCAAACTTTGCAAAAACCAGGCTAATGACAGCTTTTAACTAAAAGCAAAAGATCATCTGTCATAAGCCTTCTCATTTTCTTCAAAACACTAACAGTGGCTTCCCTGACCTTCATGGAAGAACCCAGTCACTCTGCTGCTCTCAGTCCTTCATCTTACGTTTTCTTCCTCAGGTTTATGATTTGTAGACCGGGTTCTCTTTAGGTATTTCTCCCCCCTGTTTCTTTCTCAGATAGGCCTGTCCTGCACCTGCAGTCTGACCTCATCTATCCCCGACTTGCCCTCATGTTACCCATATCCACCATGGGAGCCCTGTTATTCATATATCCTTTCTCCTGACATATTTTTCACATGTTTTATTGACTATCAGGCTAGTCAGGGAAAAATCTGAAATATAAGCTTCTGGAGATAAAGCTCTGCTTCTTCGCACAGCACTGACCACTGCAGAGATGTGAGCAGGTCCAATCACCTTACTCTGGTGTATGTAAAGTATTTATAAGGGGACTTCCTGAAGAAAGAGCATAGACTCCTTTACCTGATTAAAAAAGACACCCTTAATGTTGGCGTGGTCACTCCTAGCCTGATCAAGCCTCCACATATTCCAGAAATACATGAAATTTTAGATGAGATGATATAGTGGTCAATAGCAGAATTATATTACACATAAAATATAATTCACATAAAGGCCAAACAAAGAAAAATACTTTGGGTAAACTAGGAGGATTATACACAGCCAAGATATTAATATACATTGATACACAGTTACAGAGTCTGAAATTCACCTAGCAGCAATTATGAATGTGTGATCTAAGCAGAAATGTAGGCACTTTATCCCAGCAGCCCAAGAAACACATTCCACAGCAGCCAAAGACACCTCTTCATAGTACACGAACACCTGTACTCTTC